CCTATTCAGTGAACTCTATACTGCTGGCAAGAACCCAGATAGCAGGAAAAGGTTTGTTAAAGCCCTTGGCTTTACTTTCACAGGGCAGCATTTTAACCCTTTACTCCAACCAGTGCAATCATGTGCCCCTCTTTCCTTCAATGCCCTCTCAGCTCAGGGAAAGGAGTATTTTTTTTTTCTTCCCAACTGTCCTTTCTAAGGTGTATGAATCCAATTCTAGCTCCTACTTAGCACCATCTTAAATCAAAACCAAGAACCACCTGACTTTACTTTCTATTAACACCTTCAAGATGCCACCTCCTCAGAGCAGGGCTCTCAATACATGAACATCATGTCACCTCAAGCCGCTCTCAAATCACCAATCAATCTAAATGCAATGCGAAGTATGAAACTGGATCCTACAAGAGAACAAGATATATGAAAAAAAGGTAAAAATATAAATAAATCATAATTCCTAATAATAAACAACAAATTATTACTGGGCTGCACCAATGTTATTTTTTACAAATTAACTTGGTAATATGATATTTTTTCTATTTCCTATTCCTTTTTTTTAATTTATTATTAATTTCAATGAAAATTTACAGAGACTTTGGATTTCCATTCATTCATTGTTGCACTTTTCTCCCCTCCCAACCCCCGCCCAGTACACTACCCTCTTGGAAAAGTAAAAGAAAAATTCTTTGATTGTTTTATAATCCCTCCTCCAGGTGCACTCCACTATACAGTGTTACCTCTGGACTCCCATCATGACAAAAATACCTAATCCCATATCCCTTTTAAACAGTTTTCTCCCACATCTGTTTCAATGCAGTATACATTATTAAACTCATCAGTCTCCCCCCCAACCCCGATGTCAGCCCTATTTTACAACAATGGCACCATGCAGTATTTGTCCTTCTGTGAGTGAGATACTTCACTCAGCATAATGTCCTCCAGGGTCACCCATTTTGAATAATATTGCATGAGTTCCTTGTTTTTCAATGCAGCGCAGTATTCTATTGTGTGAATATACCACAGCTTCTCTATCCATTGGTTTGTTGATGGGCACTTAGGTGGTTTCCAACTCCTTGCTATTGTGAACAAAGCCTTCCTTGATAAACATGGGTGTGCATGGTAACAGAAGATTTTATTAGAGGAAACCGAGGAATATCTATGGAAATGCCACTATCTTGCAACAATCAGAAAATGGGAGAGAGGTCCGTATCTATTAGGTAATTATAAAAGAACTATAAAAAACAGCCCACTCCCAAGCCTCTCCCCCAACCAGCTCAGCCAAATAACATGATAAAAACAAAGCAGCCTGTTCAGAACTCTATTTCACTATCCCTCTGTGTTCTATGAGTGGCAATGTTAAAGAATCCATTGGGCAGTGCTATTTCTGGTGTTGATACACTGACAGAATCAAAACACATAAAAGCAGAATGGTTTTAAAGAGGGATATCATATGGGGAAAAGATGAAAACTAGCCCTAGCCCGAGGATTTACTTATTTATGGTTAGATACTTACTTCTGCCTTAAAGAAAGAAGCTGCCACCAGTTAATTTGAATGCAATGGGGCAGGTATCAATGCCAGTATTCTCCTCTGTCAGTTCAACCATTTATTCACTTGGAATCAGATGTCTGTTCCCAGTGCTACACAAGGAGATCTTAACACAACTGACAAAACCAGAAAACACCTAGCTTAAGTTCTAATAAAATCCCTCTCACAGAGACGCTCCACTAGGTTTCCAAGGCTGTGTACATCTTTACTCATCTTTTTCCCCTCAAAGCTACTTTGAGTTAAAATCATTAACTTTTCATTTAGAGGTCTGACACCTACCTCACACCCTTATTCCACCAGGGACCATAGCTCTAATATGGGAGATAAAATTAGCTTGTTTCTTACAAGAAACAACTAAAAGGTAGTGCACGATGATCAAATACTAAAGAAATTCAAAGGAAAAAAAGTGACATCACATGGTAGAGTCTGGAAAAAAAAAATAGGTGTAGAAAAATTTCAATGAAAATGTGCAAAGACTTGGAGAGAGAAAACCAAAACAATAAAAATACGTATTCAATATGTCTCAGGTAGAAAGAACTGGGGGGAAAAAACAAAACAAAACAATTTAAGCTTCAAATTGCAATAGTGAAAGATTCTGTGTGCACAATCTCGAATGATATGGTGTTGTCATCAATACAGCGTTGATGTGCTATCAAGTTGGAATCAACTCAAAGCTGACATTCAGCACGTTTTCAAAGAATGTAAGTTACAGGAGAGGCATAACTGCTCTTTTTCTCCTTACAGCTGGTGGATTCGAACCTCCTGCCTTATCTACTAGCCCACAGAATGGCATAAGAAGCACCAAAAGAAGGAATACACTAAGGAGCCCTTTTGGCCTTGTGGCAAGAAGGTACACTGCAATCCCAGAGGTATGCAGTTCGAACCCACCATATGCTCTCCTGGAAAAGGAGGGGCAATCTCCTCCTGTACCAGTCAGATCCAATTTGACGGTACATGTACGTACACACACACACACACACACACACACACATATACAAACAATTAAAAAATAAAAAAGGCATACACTAAATCCAACAGAACTGGTCAACATCAACCTTTTCAGGAGGTAGCATCTATCAATAACTAATAGTATTAAAAGGAGAAGTACAAACTATACTGAAAGCACTAACAAAAGACAAGGCTTCAGGAATTAAAGGAATGTCAACTGAGATTTTTGCACAAAAAAACTCAATACTAGAAGTATTCACTCTTCTAGGCCAAGAAATTTGGAAGGCAGCTAGCTACCTGGCCAACTGATTGAAGAGATCCACATTTGTGCCCATTCCAAAGAACAGCAGAATGCAAAAATTATTGAACAATTAAAGTAAAACCTTGCTGAAAATAATTAAAACATAGTTACAACACTACCACAACATAGGACTGCTAGAAATTCAAGCTGGATTCAGAAGAGGACACGGAATAAGGGATATCACTGCTGATGAACAGATAGCTTTTGGTTCAAAGTAGAGAATACCAGAAAGACTTTTACCTGAGTTTTACTGTTAAATTGAAAAAGCAAAAGCATCTGACTGGGTGGACCAGTAACAAATTATGGATAATATTTAAAAGACTGGTAAATACAGAATACTTAATTATGCTTATGGAGACCATAAGACCAAAGACCAAGAGGTAGTCAAACAGAACTAGGAGATACTGCATGGTTTTAAATCAGGAAAAGTGTGCCTCAAGAGTTAAAGCCATTCACCATAACTTATCGTGGAAGTTACTAACAAAGAAATAATATTATTTTATTCTCAGCTATGTCTACATCTCCCGGTCTTGTAGGGAAGGTATATCCCTTTTTGCTAAGTTCAGAATCCCTACAAATATTATTTATCTTATGAAATCTATCCCTAGACCAAAAAGCTATTGTTCGAAGAGAACAAGGGAACTGCATGGTTTAAAATTGGGAAAGGCATGCACCACAGATGTATTCTTTCTTCAAACCTATTATATCTATATGCTGAGCAAATCATTTGTTGAGCTGGACTCTGAAGAAATGTGGTATCAGGATGAAAGGAATCAACAACCTGTGTTATGCACATGACCCAACCATGCTTGCTAAAAGTGAGGAGGACTTGAGGCTCAATTGACATTAAATCTCAGGAATTTATCATTTAAACCAAACTCACGACTATAAAGTCAAGTTCAACTCAAGAGTGACCTTCCAATGGTTTTCTGACTGCCCATTTTCTTCCTGCTAGGCACCTGGTGGATGTGTAATGCAACCTGGCATATAAGGCACTAGGGCTTCTTTTAATTTATCATTCTCCTGTTGCTGAGTCATAACTAGCTCACAGCTGACCCTTGAGCAGGTTTTCAGAGGCAGTAAACACAAGAGGCTACAGCCCATCTTTCTGCCACACAGCAGCTGGAGGATTCAGATCACATGCCTTGGGGTTAGCAGCACAACTCTTTACCACTAGACCACCAGAGATACTCAAATTTTTTTTATTACTGTTTTATTTATTGTTGCACATTCTCTCCTCCTCCCCTAGGCCACCATACAACATATCCCTTGGTTCCAGGCTGTTGTCATACATATAAGTCTAATCATACATTCCTTCTGGACAGTTCTTCCCTTCATCTGTTCTACTAGTGTTCATTATCTATCCACTCTTTTCCCATTCTCTCCCCAAGGCACCTATCCTCGCTTGCCCTATTTTATAAAAGCAGGGTTAGGCAGTATTTCTCCTATTGTGATTGATATATTTCACTCAACATAATGTCCTCCAGGATCACTCATGTTGTGCAATGATTTAAAATTTCATTATTTTCAATGTTGCATAATATTCTATTGAATGAATATACCATAGTTTTTGTATCTACCTGTTTGCTGATGGGCACTTGGGTTGCCTTCATAGCTTTACTACTATGAATAGTGCAGCAATAAATATGGGTGTGCAAACTGAATCACAGCCCTGGTTTCTTTACGGTATATTCCCAGTAGTGGAACTGCTAGGTAAAATGTTATTTCTATTTCCAACTTTTTGAGAAAGTGTCAGACCACCTTCCGTAGCGGCTGTTATCATTTCAGATTCCCACTAGAAGTGAATATGTGTTCCAATCTCTCCACAACCTTGTCAGCACTTGCTGTTTGCTGCTCGGTTGAACTCTGCTATTGCTGCTGGGGTGACATAGTATCTCATAGCTGTTCTGATTTGCATCTCTCTGATAGCGAGATTTTGAACATTTCTTCATGTGTTTGTTTGCTACAGAGATGCTCAATTTATCACTTGAGGTTTTACAAAACAACTTTAAAAGCCTTGAGGCAAGCCAGCTACAGAATCTATGAGAGCTAGGTATAGCCATTCCACCCATAATGTGAAGATTCACAAAAAGAGTACAAATATTTTAGATAGAAAAGAAGTCTACTTAGGCAAATCAAAACTCCAAGAACAGGCAGTTAAGTCCAGTTCCAGAGGTCTGGTAGGGAACATCTTAAAGGATAACGTACCCAAATTGTGTCGTTTTGACTTCGCATGTTCATGGATATGTTTCTTTGTGAAACAACCAAAGAAGACACAGTAGAGGCAGGAGTGGAGTCTGTTCAAGTGGACACCACAAACATGACAAATGCATGACTTGGCCTGAAATTCAAAGAAGAAAAATGATGAACAAATAATAGAAGTACTCAGAGATAAGTATTCAGTGAAGTGATCCACAGCAGGTGGGGGTCACTAGAGGAAAAGAACAGAGATATGCATTCCAAACCTTCCTGCACTAAAACACCACTGTGCAAATCTTTCAATCCCCTCAAATGGCTGTTCTATAACACCTTTCATTACTGAAACTGGTTTAAAATTTGTGAAAATATGTAAAAGTTTATGTTGCCTAATGTTTGTTCAGAATACAAATGGTCTCCCCATAAGCATGTAGAATAGCTCAGAATAAACCTTATGTTTTAATTTTAATGTGTTTTGATTAACATTCCTAAAGGTCTTTGTACTTTAGTTCAACAGCTCCACTTAAAAAACAAAGAACTCATGAAATATTATACAAAATGGGTGACCATCTATTCCCATATGGTTTACAGACTCTGAAAACCTACTGTAGGGTCAATTATGAGTTGGTTTTGGCTCAAAGGTATACATACAGTAGCAGCCGTGATATACATAGCAATAAAGAATCTGTTCACCCAAGGAAATTATAGTATATCTGAGGGCAGAGAATACAACATGGACATACTCTCTTTCGAAGAGTTTATTAAATTGCAGTTAAAAGCACACAGAGCTGTAGTGGCATTAAGCAACCCTCAGAAAACCAAAATGCAGGCAACTAGAATTTGCCAGCTCTTCCAAAGAAAAAAGATGTGCAGTCGGTTTCCACAAGGATTGCAACTTCGGAAAACCCTAAGGTTTGTCTGAGGAAGATGTCAACAAAATGGGCAAACATCAATGTGCAGAGGCTCTGAGGATGAGACTTGATCAAGTACAGTTTTTATATGCTGTGCAAAGGGTTATTATGAGTGGCAGCTGACTCCATGCCACCTAATAACAGGGTTGCTAGATGTCTGAAATGACTTGTTAGCAAACTTGTTCTAGTTTTTAAAATCACACACATATACACCAATGATCATAACTCTCATATCAAAGATGAGCTGTACCAACATCAACATTCTGCTAGTAACAATGTGCTGCAATTTAGAAAGATGTTATCATTAGGGAAACAGGAAAAGCCATCAAAATTGTTCTGAATATCAAGTTTACTAACAGCATTTATAAGCAGAAATCAGGATGGATCTAGAAATGACCCTTTTGGCAATGAACACAACTCCACTTTTCGTCACTGTTCATTCCCAGCACAGAAGATCAAATGATTGATTCAAAGTGGCTAATGCCAATCCATCTCAGCTTGCGATGCCTCGTATGTCAATATTTGTATTCTATTTCTTTTTTTAATAATGTCCAATTTTCCTACATTCATATTTCGTACATTCCAATTATAAAAATCAGCAATACTTTTGAGTTGTAGTGCTGGAATAAACTACTGAACATACCATAGACTGCCAAGAGAACAAAACTGATCTATCCTGGAGAGGGTGAACTAGGGTTGCTCCTTGAATGCAAGAATTTAAAAGCTCTGTCTCACATACTTTGAGCAAGTTGTCAGGAGGGCCAGTCCTTGGAGATGGACATCATGCTTGGAAGAGTGGAGAGTCAGTACAAGAGAGGACGACCCTGGATGAGACAGACTGACACAGTGACTGTGGCAATGGGGTCAGGTGTCAGAGATGGTGAGGATGGCTCAGCATAGTGCAGCATCAAGAGCTGTAATTCAAAGGGTTGCTATAAATCATAATCAACTTGAACTCGACAGCACAATTGCAAAGCCACATAAATCTCAAAATAAATATTTAATTAAAGAAAAAAATTTACTTTGAGACATTTTAATTGGAATATAATTGCAATGTAGTATGAATAGTCAATTGTTTTCTCTTAATGATTACACCCATGTTCCCTCAACATTGGGACATCGGTGAGCACAGCTGTCTTTGCTGGGAGGCACCTGTGAAACGCCCAGGACAGGCCCATTACAGGGGCCACTCACACACTGATGAACAATTACTCAGCAGCTCACATGATGCTTGCTGATGTCCCTGCAGTCCCAGGACCCTGCTTCATAGTGGTCCAAACACGACATTGAACTAGCAGCCTAGTGCAAGCCTAGAGGTGAATTACCACTAGCAGGTTCAGTGATTCAGAGAGATTCTCTAATTCACAGAAACCCAGTGATTCAGAAACTCAGTAATACAGCTGGCCTGCCACACAAAGGTGCAGTGGTGCAAAGACCCCCTTCACTAGTGGGAAGTGGGCAAAGGCAAGAGTTCAACTGTCCCACCTTGGAGTCTGTTCCCACACTGCATTCACTGCAGGCCCCACTGGACTAGACAGACTGCATGGTTCATCAGAGTAAAGGCCAGCACTTGCTTCACCTGATCAGCTTAGATGGCAACCATCTAGATGGCAACTACCTCTTTCCCTACAGCCAATGGCACTACACACACAGAGAGACAACTATGTGGACATCCCATTAGCTACCACATACCCAGCAGAAAAAAGATTAAAAAACTATAATGACATCACCACAATGTGCTGAAAACAAAAGACATCAACTAACCCCCAAAAGACAAAGAGGTTACCCCCCCAAAAAGAGATGAACACAGAGTCAATAGATATTCCAGGAGAAAGGCTGATGGAATCCTCATAGAAGGAACTCAAAAGAATGATGATCAAATGTCTTCACAGGATGGAAAATGTGTTAGGAAATTAAGTAATCCAACCCAAAACAATAAAGAATTCTAAAAAAATATCAACGCCTGACAAAACATGTAATAAAAAAAAATATGAAAAGACAGAGAAAACTGAAACAATCAATATAAGACCAACATTTCAGAAGCTGTTAACTTGTCCATGCTAAGAGATGAAAATAACAAAACTGAAAACACAGAATACAGAATAAGCAAAACATAAGACAAAGCACTCAATGCTAATCTGTTAAATAAAAAAAATCAGAAATAAAAAGGAAAAAAGCTTAAGAACTATGTGGGCTATCATCAAGATAATATATTGTTGGGGTTAGGTGCAGTCAAGTCGAGCATGACTCATAATGACTCTATAAACAACCTATCTGAACCCTGCCAACCTCACACTTCTTGACACACTAAAACCCAATGCAGCAGTCATCTTCTCAATGCATCTGGGTGAAGGTGTTCCTCTCCTTTGCCAACCCTCCACCCATGATAGCATCATATCCCTCTCCAAAAAACAGCCCTTCCTACCAACATGCCCAAAGTATGTGAGGCAAAGCCTCACCATTCTTGCCTCCAAAGAGCACTCCGGCTGCACCCTCTCCAAGACATACTTGCTTGTTCTTTTTGCCATCCATGGGATGGATGTTCAGTGTACTCCACAGCACAGCTCAAAGGCATCAATTCTTCTCGTCATCCTATTCATTGTCCAGCTCTCAGATGCAAAACAAGTAATCAGTAAGACCATGGCCAGAATCAGACACACCTTACTCCGTAAACTGACACATTACTCTCAATAATTTGGAGAGGTCCCTAACTGCACACATTCCCAGTGCAATGCATCTCCTTATTTCCTGACTTCTGGTACCAAGGATGTTAACTGTAGACAGTTTCACTCTCCTCTACATCCATTATGACAATGTCTATCAATCCAGTGGTAAGAATCTTTGTTTTCTTGATACTGAGATGCAATCCAAACTGAAGACTGCATTCTTTGACCTTCTGAAGGAAGCACTTCAAGTCTTCCTCACTTTCAGCAAGCAAGACAAGGTATTGATGAATCACCCTCCAATCCTGACACCACATTCTCAAATAATTTTCTCAGCGTACAGATTACACAGGTATGGAGAAAGAATACAACCCTGATGCACTACTTTCTCAATTTTAAACCATGCAGTATTCCCTTGCTCTGTTCACATAAGAGTCTCCTGGTTTCACATGAGCACAATTAAGTGCTCTGGGACTCCCATATTTCTCAATGTCAGCCACAACTTGTTGTGATCCACACAGTCAAATGCCCGTTGTTATGACCATCGAGTTGTTCACGACTCACAGCAACCCTATGCACAACAGTCCTGAAACCTGCTCTATCCTGTACCAACCTTTAATTGTCTCTGACATACCTACCCTCATTACCCTAGTCACTGAATCACTACATCTCATTGAGGGTCTTCCTCTCTTGCACTGTCACTCCACCCTTCCAAGCATGATGTCCCTCTCCAAGGACTAGTCCCTCCTTGCAACATGCCCAAAGTATGTCAGACGAAGCCTCAGAATCGTTGCCTTCAAGAAGCATCCTGGTTTCACCCTCTCCAGGATGAACCTGTTTTTCATACTGGCAGTCCATGGTATATTCAATACTCTTCTCTAGGACCACAGCTCAAAGGCATTAATTCTCTATCAACCCTAGTCATTCTCCAGCTTTCTGACACTAAGGAAGTAACTGCAAAGACAATGACCTGGATCAGGCGCACCTTAGTCTCCTGACTGACATTGTTGCTCTTTAGTACTCTGGAGAAGTCCCTAACAGCAGACTTTCCCAATGCAATTTGTCTCTTGATTTCCTGGCTGCTGGTACCAAAAGTGTTGATTGTGGAGCCAAGCAAACTAAAGTTGTTAACAATCTCAATCCCTTCACCCATTTATCATGTCGCCTATCGGCCCAGCATTGAAAATCTTTGTTTTCTTGATGTTGAGCTTCAATCCATATTGAACACTATAGTCCTTGACCTTCTAACGCCAAAGCTCCACATCCTCCTAGTTTCAGCCAGTAGAGTTGTGTCATCTGCATAACATAGGTTACTGATGACTCTTCCTCCAATCCTGATGTCACACTACTCCGTACAGAGTCCAGCTTCCTGGATAATCTGTTCTGCATATAGAATTAAAAGGTATGGAGATAGGACACATCCCTGCCATACACCGCAGTGTTTCCTTGCTCTGTTTTGATGACTGCCTCTTGATCCAAGTATAGATTTTGACTAAGAACATCAAATGTTCTGGGATTCCCATTCTTCTCAGAATCAGCCACAGTCTGCTGTGATCCACACAGTCAAATGC